TTGCTGCTGTTCTCTTCTTGGGCTCACAGATCAAGACAGCTTTGCTGCTGGCCATCAGTGCATGTTCTGGGCTGGTTTGGCAGTGAGGAAGTTAGTCGAAATCACTGTGAAAAAGCGAGGGAAGAAGTGCTGAAATGTCAGCTTTCAGTAGATAGTTTTGTTGTTTGCTTGTTTATTTCTAAGAGGAAGAGAGAAAGAGAAAACACATGAATAACTGGGATTTCTGCAAGGCAGGAGGAGAGATTATAGAAAGAAGTGTATTTAAAGAGCAAGCTTGTAGTTTTAAAATATGCAGCCACATTGAAGTGTGTGCCAGAATATTTTAAAGTAACATCAAATATCTTTATTAATACATTCGTGATAGGTTTATGAACTGGGAAACATTTTGTGTACAAACAAAAAAGAACTGCTTGAAACACACTCAGTATTCAGCCTGGTGTTTATAAGAAATTATGTGCTTTGGCTGTAAATTATGGCAAGATCATGAATTGCCAGCCCTGACCTTTCCATACACCATACCCATTGCTCCAGTGGTGATGCTTTGAATATGCAGACAGCCAGGACAAGGTGATTCATGCTAATGGCATGGGCAATAGCTTTGCAAACTATCCACAAACGTGGATGAGCGGGTTGTGATGTGTGGGTGTTACGTGCAGTATTTTGTAGCAAAATAAGTATCTCTACCTTAGGCTGAGCCTGCATATTTAATTTGTCACCTTTCAGTGGTGTATAATTATATGCATATGTCTATTTGCTGGGGCTGACTGTGAAACTTCAAATGAAGCATTTTTCTTTTCAAAACTTTCCCTGTTACTAGTTCTATTTCGGTTCTTTCATCTCTATGGATGGAAATGAATAGATGATCAGATCAATTCAATTCAGATTAACAGAACAGTAGCTATAAGACCTAACTTACTAAGTTGTTATTTTCCTGCTGTTGTGTGCTTTTCCATCTGCTGGAAAAGTTATTTCATTATCTTAGGAACATTGTCCACAAGACTGGGAAAGTAAGAACTATTATATGCCTCTGTTTTTTCCAATGGTAAAACCTTTACAGCAATATTTAGCTATTTTCAGAAAGATTTGTAAGGCTGAGTCATAAAAAATTGCTAGATATTTTGAATTCCTTGGAAGAAAAAGGTGAAAGATGTCTAGTAACAAAGTTGTCGATCTCATGATTGTCATAGCTCTTATTATTGTCAGGCATTAGCTACTGATTCCAGAGAAGAATATTAACACTTTTTTCCTCACTGATTTGTTATTGCAGCTCTTTGCCAATGTCTCCGGCTCGGTGGATGACGAGGGAACTTGTCAGTGCTCTGTGTACTTGCCGGATACTACCTTTCCAGTGCAGAAGGCTGAGCAATTGGAAATTACAGCCACAATGCTCTTGGAGAAATTTGAGAGAGAGCTTTCTCAAGTAAGGTGTTCTTTTCTTATAAATATAACAATTCTGTCTTTGCTGGAAAATGGTTGCCTGTGAAAAAGTACAGCAGTGAGTGGATTTCTGTGACCTGTCTTTCAAACACCAGGAAAGAGGGCTCTGTAAGAACAAGAAGGGTGATTAAATCTCAAATCTTTGATATTGCAGCATGTCATACATTTGAATATCCTTAGGTCTCTTTTCGAGGCCTTTGCAGCTGGAGGCATATGGTATTTTTGGAAGAATCGTTATGTTTTTCCTCTTTTGGCTCAGTTTTATTGGTTTGTGATTGCTACACAGAGCTATAGGAAGCCAAGCCTCCTGCTCTTTCATGTGTTATTATTTGTATCAAGCCAGCCAGATTGTAAGAGGGAAATGAAGGGAAAGAGGAAAGGTCACCACAGCCCAGAGTGAAGAAGTAGGTGAATATTTGCCCCTTCACTTCTTCTGCTCTCACAGATTAAAAAAATTTAAAAAAATCAAATATTTCCCTTGTCAACATCTGAAGCTGTGGCAGTGAGACTGCTGAATTATGCATTGTTGTTGAAGACAAACACACCTTACACTACTTTGGCTGCTTGTTGCATGAATTCAGATCCATTTTTTGAGGAACTCAGGCAAACCTACACTTGCTGCAGTGCACTGGGTGAAGCTGCCTGTGAAGACAGAAATCTGTCTTTGACTTTTGATAGTGGATAAATATTCAGGATTCAGATTAGGTGTCCAGCAGAAAGTGTTTTCTTCAGGAACCAAGCATCTTAAGAAATGAAGTGTCCTTGAATTAATCAGCAGAAAAGGCACAGCATTAAATTATAAATTCTAACCATAAATATTCATAAACCTCCTCTGGTATAATCAAGAACAGATAAGAAGTTGTGCATAAAAAACACAACAACAGGCGGAGGATCCTGTGGTAAGATCTTTCAGTTCAAATCATTTCTTTTGAAAGAACTGGAGCTAACAATGAAAGACATTCAGCTGTCAGCAGGGATATGAAGGGCAAGCTGACAGAAGTCCCACTGCCTCCAAGCACAGGAGTTTCCTGATCCCTTGCAACATGGAGGTGTAGCTTGGAGTTAATGATCCATGAAAATCGCTGAGATTTCAGGTCCCCATACTGTTGCCACTGTGGTCAGTGCCAGCATTTTAAGCTAATCGCACTGGGACAGGATCAGGGACATTATTCCCAGCCAGAAAGTTGGCATGATTCTTCAAGGTGTTTGTGTACCACCTTTCCCAGTCACTTGCTCTGGTGTAACCAGTCTCTTACCAGTACTTTCCTCAGAAGGGTGCATGTTTCCTTTAGGATGTATGACTTATCTGCTAGAGCCATGCAGATCTGCAGAGCATCTCGAGTGCTGCTTGACCTCTCTGTGTAGACAACCTCAGATCTCCATTGAGTTCAGACATCTTGCTTATGTAAAGACACAGGTTACTATAGATACCTAAAATTAGGTGTCCAGATTTGTATCTGAAATTCACCTCTAAATTCAGGGCAAGCTGAATCCGCGCCGTGGACTTTAATGTCCAGGTCATCCTTAGGTGCCCAGCAGTGTACTGCAGTGTAGACACTGACCCTGGCTTTCAATTCTTGCCGCAGACAGTGAAAATTCTTGACCTAACTGAGGCTTCACTGAATTTCATCCTGTCGAGACTGATCAGGCAAGACGTGTTACAATGCATCTAGTTAGATAAAGTGTGACATATACTTTGGTGTGATATAGGCAAAGAGACATTTTGGGTCAAAAATGAAAATGAACAGATTGAATTTTGGTGTAACTCTATGTGTGTACGATTTCTCAGTTATGTTGTTTTTCTGTAGAAGGAAGAAAGCTGTCAAGCATTGCCCTATTGATATCTGAACTTAAGTAATCTGAGATCTTGTGATGCATGAGTCTCCATGCTTAAAATTTCTTCACCTTTCCATTTGTGGAAAAAAATCCTCCTTATACAATCCTGTATATTACTTTAGTCATAATACTCATAGAAAGAAGGAAATAATGAAATGGAGAAAAGCCAAGCTCTTATTAGTGATCATTATTAGAAATGGTCCTGAGCAAACTCCTAGGGAATCACATAACCTAGTCTTACCACAGGGGCGGGCATTTCTACTGAGTGCTTCCTTTCTTGACTCTGAGAATCCATGCTTTAGTCGCTCTTCTAAAACACCCTTTGAAGCTCATGGGAGCTTTTCCTGGGTAAGAGCTACAGGATTGGACCCTCTTAAGGATGCTTTCCATGTGCTAGAAGTCCCAGATAAACAACCTGATTGAATCGTTAACCTTTTGCCTGATTGTAGGCTAATTCAAAAAGCAAGGGGGTCCTTTTATAGAATCAGCAGGCAAGGAAGCTTGCAGATAAAGAGATGCTCTCGTGTGCCAAATGAGTACAAACCGTAGGCTGAAAATACCAGACTAATTTTTCCTCTGTCACATCAACCTTTGCCAGCATAATTATGATTACAGAAGAAAATTAACCTTTCGAAGCAAAGTGGGAATTGGCTGCTCCTCTCAATAGAAAAGGGGAGAGGACACCTCCATAACAGGGATGGATCAGCACGTGATCCCAAGGAGAGAAAGTGCCTTTCAGAACTTGGTTCACAACGGCCACAACATCCTCACATCACAAAAACAGGAGAAAAAAAGCATGTCTGCCCTCTGCCAGGAACAGCTGTTTTCAAAATAGGTTAACCTGCAGTGGAGTTCTTCTCGGTGTCAGCTTGCAGACTGCTTGCCAACCTTGCTCCTTACAGATCTGTAGAGGTCAGGCCTGACCAAAGCCAGCGTCCTAGGCTGAGTGACTTCATAGAGTTGCTGGTTTTGTCACTTATTTCTTATCCTCAGTCTCTTATCCTCTTATTCTCAGTCCTCCCACTTTTTTCTTACATCTTCATCTTGCACGTTTGTTGCCCCTTCTGTACTCTCCAAATGTGTGCTGGAGAAGTGTCTGTTTGCATGCTGCAAAACCTGTGTTGATAAATACCAATTGCAGGTAAACGACACATTAGATGAGCACTGCAGATTTTTCCTGCCCTTTTCATTCCACGAGGGTGACAATGCTTGGAAAGGAGGAAAAACTGAAACAGGAATTTTTTTCCTACACATGCCTCACATCGCTCCATTCTCTTCCAACAAAGGGCTAATACAAGCCCTATGCACTCATCATACCCTGCTTCAGGCTTTTACGACAAATGTGGCAGCAATCAGTACTAGTTATTGGTCTGTATCCCTGAATATGGGATATGCACAGAATTTCTGTGCCAACCTGTCAAGAGACAACAGCCAGTCCCTAGCAGGTAGACACAGTAGAAGAGCAGAGATTACAAGCTGCTTAAATCTATCTGCCAAGCAACAGAGCAACATCATGTTCCTTTTTCAACTGATAATTCTGAACTACAGAAACTCCTAAGCCAGATCTGAGCAGGCGGGAATGTCCACACAGGGCATTGCAAGGCTTGACATATGTGCTGGATTTGTCTGCAAAAGCAGTATAGACCTGTTAGAGCAGCACTGCTGATAAAATTATATTTGTCCAATAATTTGGCAGGGGAGCTATTCGCTTAAGTTCATTGCGATGCTGGTGTGGCTGTATAGAGCCCTGCAGAGTGTTGGGGCTAGTTCAGGCTCAACTTGTATGGATATCTCTCAGCTATACTCCACTGGATGGTGTTGACATGTCCTTAAATGACCTAGATGGTTGACTGAGTGAAAGCCCTCTGATGTGGGAGGAGAACTTCAGGTCTGTGTCCTGCAGCACTCTGCAATCAGGGCTGAAATAACTATGTATGCCTTGTTCCAGCCCTCAGCATTTTGTCCAGGCTCTCAGGACCCTGGAGAAAACTCCAAATTCACAAGTTTCTCACTAATGAGTAGCCATCACTAATTCCATCAGTCTGTTTATTTCAGTGGTTTGTAGGTTTGGTCTGTATTGCATTATTATTATTATTATTATTATTATTATTACTATTACTATTATTACTATTAGTATTACTGCGAGAAAGGTTATTAATACCTAGATAGATTTCCAAATATCTCTATGATGTACGTAGCTTCACACAGCAGTGCAATTTTGTTCAGACATGGGTCTGCTTTCTATTTCTCGGGCTGTAATCATACATGCTTTCTTTTTTGTTGCGCAAACTCTAGACACACAGTTTAAACATTGAATTTTTTCAAAAGATTTTTTTGAGGATATCTTTCAGCTCAAAACTGATTTTGGTGATCAGTGAAAGTGTGAGGTCCAACTACATCTGGCTTTACCAAGAACATTGTCCAGTTCTTCCTACTGTTCCCTCCTGAACACGGGATCCCAGCTGTCTTTGTTGTCAGCCAGATACAAGGAGCTAGGCCTAAGTCTTTATATGTTATTATTTTTTTCATTTTTAATTGTAATAAATAACTTAGTTATTCCTTAGCTTGAAGTTACCCAGGCTTGACCTGGGACATCTAGAGCATCCAGTGTTATGAGTCAGGGTGCTTCTGCTGCAGCTTATGGAGACATGCCAGATTATATCAGAGCAGCTCAAAATCTGGCTGCACACATTTAGAACAGAAGATCTGCTTCAAACCCTGATTTAAATGTGCGGGATTGAGCAGCCTGGTTTTGGTGTATGTTATGTATGTGCGTGCAGAGGGGTTCGCTCAGATTTATAGTGTAATTGTGCCACTATTGAAAAGTATACTTTTGAAAAGAGGGTCTTCTCACTTATGTTTTTCCTTCTTAAACCACATCACTGAATATCTTATGATCTGAAAGGATCCTTTCTGCCCTTCATGAATTTCCACGCCATGAGCTCCCATACCTCCTCTTTGGTACACAAGGGATTCAATCAAAATTGAAAGGAATTATTTGATAAGTGTGTTTGTTGGGGTTCCCATCCCAGGGGCTGCTGCCAGAAAAGGAGAAAAAGGAGTCCGTGGTCTTCACACCATGACAGGATTTTAGAGGCCATTCCAGACCCAATGGGGAAAAATATTGACTTTCGTTCTATGTTAAGATAATGCAAGTATGTTTGAGATGATGTGGGCTAAAAATCTTTCAGTCAAAGAAATAATAGTTATGGAAATCATAGTGCTGTAGAGAGAGGGACCTATACTACAGACACCATCTGAGAGTATAAATATGGAGTCACTGGTGGAACAAACTAATTATATTTATTCCTACTTCTTACCTTTTGTGATATAATAATATTGATTTAAGGGAAGACAGACATGACTTTTATGAAGCATATAGGAGAGAAATTATGTATCTATCTTTCCCAAAGTGTTAAATTTCAAGGAACTGATATTTTCCAAGGAATGTCCCAAATCCATATAATATTCTTAACATTCTGCATCACAATGCTTGTGCTGTGACCTTTACCTCAGCAGATACATGTGTGAAACTATATTTATCCGGACAACTGTTTAATGGTTCAAAGGCTGAAAAGGCTGCTATGTAAATTACTGTAGCTAAAGCCTGCAATAAATTCTACACTTTCATTTAAACCAGATTTCATTTTTAACACTGTGTTTAGACATTCCCCCCTGCCCAAAGACAACCCCCAAACCAGTTCTGCCAACTTTTGACACAATTCAAATGTACGCAGGGTAAAATCCTATTTGGATTCAGAGTTAATAGGAAATGAAGCTGAAAAACTTGGGGAACCTTTATTGCATTTTTCAGCCTCCTTGGGTTGCTTTTGTGAGATAATACACTGCAGATTTCCTAATAAAATTTTTGCCAGTGCAAGTTCTTGGCATACTGAGGATAAAATTAGCTCACAGAGACAATATTGGCAAAGAATTAAAAAAATGGAAGACTGCAAGTAAAATTCTGCCTTCTTTGTGGAACTGCCAACAATAAATGAGGGTTAAATTTTACATTTTTTATGTATGTGATGAGAATTTCATTTATGTAGTTTATGTGAAGAATATATATGTCAAGTATGTGGAAGTTATGCATGGGGTACTCAGAAATATAATAAAGATGTCAAACAAACAGGCTTGTTTTATTTGCTAACCTGGACTTGAATATGTACCTTTTTTTTTTTTTCTTTAAGGTTAGAGAGTACTCAAAAATGATTGAACTGTATCAGCAGCGTATCCTTAATCTAACCATCAGAGTGGAGCATATGGAGAAGAGCAGTATATCTTACACAGAGCTGGACTTTCAGTTACTGAAAGTGGAAATCAGTGACCTAGAGAGACTGGTCACTCAGCTGAAATCCAGCCTTGTTGGAAGCAATGTCATCGTTGAGCAAATATATTTGGAGGTATTGCCAGACTCTTAATTAGCCACAGAGGGTTCAAAAATACAGATAGTCTATTTTCTCTTTAGCGTTTAGGTTGAGGAAATGTAGCCTGTCTCTACTGCAGCCAGTGGAATTATTTTAGCATTTCATCAGCATAAATTAAAAGAAAGCTTGACCTTAAATGTATTAACATGTTTTTCCTTGATACAGAACACAGAAAAGCAAAGAAACCTCAAAACAAATGGGGACCTCTTTATTTTTGCCAACTATCTGCCTGAAAGTTAACAGTTTTGCATAGTGTTAAGCACACGAGCTGATGAAATTATTATAATAAATATTAATTTATAGACCTCCCATGCTTGAAAGCCTCTGTGCTTTAACTTAGATAATTAAAAAATTAGCTTCTGGTTGCTAGGGCAGTGGCCCAATCAATATGAAATCAAGAAGTGGGAAAGACTATAACCTTCCCAGCAGACTATAAATCACATTTGCAAAATTGTAATTAATCACTCACCTAGAGAGAATAATTACTTCAGATGGAAAGTGAAATATCATTTTCCCCATTGTCCTCTAGATAATCAAGTAGGTGATTGGGAACATTATTTATCTTTGCAAATAAAATTTCCAGATACTTTTGTAAGGTTGGAATAAGTACTTTTTATAAATAATAGCTAGTACTTGCCTAAGATGTACTGGATATTTTTATATTATGCATAAAATAACACTGTATTTTTGCATTATGGTACACATCTGAGTGTTAAAGCATTTCTTTGTGGTCGCATACCTCTGCTGGAAATGTGAAGTTCAGGCTAGCAGTATAAGGTCTATTCTTAGGGATATTTCTTAAAAACCTGTTCTGTAGCATCTTCTATGATATGATCAACCTTGCCTGCAAATATCTGTAAAATAAAGCTGACAGAAATGTAAATGTGCCTTTTTTTTTTTTTTCTAGATCACTAATCTGACTATACTGGTAAATGAACTAGAATCACTGGACAAAAACAATATCCTTGAAATTCGTCGACAAATTGTATCTCTGCAGAATCGACTGAAAGAGTGCGAAGAGAGCACAAACAAAACTACAGTACCCCCTTATTTCCCACCAGGTAAACATTTCTCTTGTACATCAGATAAGAAACAACATAATACATGGGTGGAACAGTAAATGCAGAGATTTCCCTTTGTTAATATTAAATACAACTGTAATGATACTACTTAGCTCTTGAAAAATTGAGCAGACAGCTCCTAATGTTTCATCAACGAGCTCAAAAGGAAAATGAGGGCAGGAAGCAAACCCAGACACAGTAGCTGTTTTCAACTGGAAAAAGTTGTAATCTTGCTCTCTCTTGCAGTGTGAAAATGAATTTCTACCCCCCCCTTCTCTTTTTCAAAATGATTACCTTTTTTTGTGGGAAACTATGCTTTTTTCTGACCAGCTTTGATTTTTAATAGTTCCTGTGAAAGTGACCTATGTCATGGCAATTTTGCTCTAATGCTACTTGGGAAACGTACGAGCAACAGTTGATGTACTGAAGCTGTTGGTATGCAAGCTCCAGAAGGTAGCTTTGCATGAAGATTCCTTTTGCTTCACAGGCAAAAGATTCTTCTAAATCACAAGGTCAAGAACCTTGGTGGGAAATTCTGATCTCAGGGAAATAAGTGGGAGCTTTATTGCTGATTTCAGTGGAACTAGGATTTTATTATTTTCTTAACTAGGAAAGGCTATGTTCTGGGGCTTAGATCTGTGGTTCCCAGAGTGCTGTTCATATAAAAGTATCAACAATCACAGGGCACGTGGTAATCAGTTTACAACTGGAATAATTTTTGTCTCGACAGTGTGTTCAATTTGAAAAATCATGTTGTGAGTGAATCATAGTCTGAGAAATTTTGAGAGTCAGATATGATACACTGGAGCAAACCGTTTAGGAAACACTAGTTTAGGTATGCCAGGTCAAGCATCCCACTTGCTAACAGACAGGAGGATTTATCAAACTGTTGATCCCCTGAGTGTTTTATACACAGGGGGTTCCTTTTGACAGAGTATTGTAAGAGAGAAAGTGCTCTGTTGTATACAATATCCAGGGGAAGGATCTTGCTTTTTCACATAGGCTGGTTAGCAATCAGCTAGACAAACCCACAGAAAAGGAGGAGCAGTGTCCTGCTTGCAAGGAGCACAGATTTGCACCTACCAGCATTTACCTCTCATCTCCTTGGGGTCAGCTAGTTCAAACCTCTCATTTAGAAAGGTGAGAGGCAGAAATACAAGCTTCCCTTAGGGTCAGCAGCCTTTCCTATTGCAATCTCCTTAGGGCTTCATGGCAGCGCGGGCAGCTGCTACACTTCTCTGACAGGATGCGCGAGTAACACCTTGTCTGGGGATCAGGCAGGCGAGAAAGCTGAAACAAAAACCTGCATTGCAAAGTCTCAAGGCCCTTCTCTGCTCCTTAAGGAAGGGCTTAAAGTATTTCAATAAAAAAAAAAAAAGCAATGTTTTAAAAGTATTTGAAGGGCATCTCATTGATTTATTGAGGGTGACGGTGTGTGGAAAGAAACAGCCTCTTTCTCTTCAAGCCTACAGCAAGCCTTTGTTTTGGTGAGAAAGTACTGAGCTCTGGAACAAGAATTCTGTGTCCTTCGATGAGTGGTGGAGGAAGGGGCTGCTTTTACGCCTGGGTGGTTGGCATGAGCGTCTGTGGGATGCAGGAGATTTCAGAGTGGGAAAGGGAAGTCTATGCTTCACAATGCAGCTCCATGCAGGGACAGGCAAGTCATGCCTAGAGCAGCATGATAGCTCTGGGATGGGTAAATGCAACTGCGTAGGGTTGTGACCGTAATAGAATCATTTAGCATTGCTTCCTGGGGCACGATGGGGAGATGGATAGCGTTTATCTGGGACCAAAATGATATTGCTTTAGTGTTGCCTTATTCCTGACTGATGTGCCAGCTAGCTCAGGCACCTTTGCAGGTCACTGCATTGTGTAGGAAGCACAGAGCAGAAAATAACCTAGAAGGCCAAAAGCCCAGGTGGTATGAACAACGATAGCTCCATTGACTTCCAGAGAATTACCACCACTGACATCAGCTGAGGACACCCTCTGGTGTTACCTGTGAGTCTATCTCCTGCCCCCAGCAATAGGAATGCAGGGAGGGCTGGAAGATGTATGTGGGCTTATTGTCGTGGCCACCTTTAGGGTGAAGGTGGTCTCTGAGGCTGGCACAAAGGAATGGCAGAGCAACTGCGGAGGGCTGGCAAGTTTCCTGCCTGTTGGGAGATGCCAGCTGCACAGATAACCCTGGTGTTACGTAGGCTCAGATCCCTGCTAATCCACGCAGGACTGGCGCATCCTGACTTTGTGTGCCTAGTGGGGGGCAAATATTCTCTGGGCAGAGAACTTTGTAGAGCAATTACCTGTCCTGGAGACTGTATCTGGAACAAGTAGTAGGAGGAAGACGTTATTTGTTGGGGAGATGGAGTAAGTATGTGAGAGAGCTGCGTTTTCTAAGATGGTCATTTTGGAGGCTTTGCATGGATGCTCAAACCTAGGCCTCTGAAGCTCTCTAGCACTCATTTACGCATTTGAACACAATTTCCATACGTTTTCTCTGCAAGCTCGAATGCCTTGAATTCCTGCCAAACCATTTGGCCTTGCCCTGCTTTTAGTTCATATTATATTTATAATGTTTGTATTAAACTGACTCTTTGTCCTGTTTCCAGACTGCGTTTTCTTTCCCCCTTCATCCTCTCTCCTCTGTATTTTGGGTAGGCAACATGCACTAGAGAGAGCTTGGCTAGTCCCCAAGCTGTCTAAGACCATGAGTCTCAAGGCAAGTTTAATTAAAGCTTCTTGCTTCTCAGTGCTGTAGTACACAGCCCCTCTGACTCTGTCCCTCAAGGCTTTTGCTGCTATATTTCTCAGAGCGAGCAGGCTTGTTCTGAAACAACATAGAAAGAAATCACTGGTCTCCATGTGCCTTTCTTTCCGAATGGAGAGGTGGGTGTCTGAGTGTCTGAGATGGGGATCAGTAAATAAAATCAGTAAATTTATCAGTAAATAAAAAAAAAATCAGTAAATAAAAAATAAAATCAGTAAATTAAAAAAAATAAAATCTGTTAATAAAATAAAATAGTTATCAGTTCAAATAAATCAGTTAATCATCCCCTCATCATCACTGGCTTTCCTATCTGCAGCAGTTCCTGGCATCTCTCTCCTCACCACTCTGGTGGGAAGAAATACTTATCCATTTGTTTTTCTTTTGCGCTGACCTCATCTGGCTGCATCAGGGAAGGTATAGAGAGAAAAGACCCCAGGATGGTTCTTTGAGGGCTCGACAGCAGATTCTTTGTCATGTCTCACTGGAATGATCTGAGAGAGGCAGCAGGGAGAAGTGAGTTAGATGAAACTCTCAAAGGCAAAAAACGAAAGAAAGGAAAAAAAGAGAAAAGCTGTTTTTTCTGGCTTTTATACATTTAGAAATTAGGGATTTCAAGTTACTGGTGAATAGGTCTCAGCAGGAGGAAGACCTGGTGTACCCTAATGCTGAAACTCAGGCAATCCTAATGGAGTCTTATAGTGGTTTCACTTTTACCTTATATTTTACCTCCTATGTACCCAAGATGTCTGTGTTTTTTAAGTGTTTTGACTTGTGTTTTGAAATGAATACGTCCATACACAAAGAGGGAGATGTGCCTACAGGCACCTGAAAAGAGCTGGCCAGGGCCTCCTCTCCAGGATTGCCTGAACTGCCCCTGGAGACACATGCATTTCTCCATTGGCTATGGAAGGAGCTTAGCTGAGGCACCTGAATTTTTAGTTGCCTGAAGGTAGGTCAGATGAACTCCAGCCCTCCACCTCATCCCCTGTTAGATGTTGACAACGTAAGTCTTCTCTGACGCAGCTGTCAGCCTGTGTCTGTGCCCCGTGATACCGGTGAAGACTGAGGTGTCTGTGTGGGTCTTCCTATGTCAGTGAGACTGCAGGAGCCAAGATGAACCTTTCCCTGAGCAGCTATGTGTTCTGTATCTCAAGCCATAGTAAGGCTGGTGACAGCTCACACATCTGGATGCAGTGGTTCATCTGATGGGAGAGGAGGGTGCACACCTGGTGCGTGGGAGGACGTGTGAGAGTGTAGCACCAGCCTGCTCCTGGTCTCTGTGCCCCTCATGGGAGTTCCTTTAAATGTGGGTCCCACCTTGTCTCGTGATCTTTGGCTGCATAGGCGAACTGTGGTCTCCTCTCCTCTGTGATCAGGTGCAGCTGCTTGGTGGGGGAGGCTGCTGGAGTTTTTCTGGCACCTGTATTGTTGGAGTGAGAAGCTGATGTGCTCTGCGAGTGCTTCAGAGTGAAGTGGGTGAAGCGAGACCTAACAGGACGCATCTCATGCTCAGTTCTGCAGCCCGTTAGCCAAGCAAGTCAGGCTCCCTCCAGTCCTGACAACTAAGTGCCAGCTCCTTTTCTGATGAATCAGAAGGATTAGTAAACAACTGAGCTGAGATACTGGTTCTTTATGTAGGGAGAAGGAGAAGTACGTGTGTGTGTACCTGTGTTAGTCCTCCTCTCGCCTGTTTGCTACATAAGCATGAAACAAAGGAAGGCAAAAATACCAGGACATCACTTACCAGTGGCCCAAAACAGTGGAGAAAGGAGTTAAGAACTTCAAAGTTTGAATAATGCATATGGATTTATTTCAAGTACCTTCTAATATTTACAAAATTACATGACACTTTGTTTCCTTTGTGCATTTTTTCCCCACAAGATGCAGACAGGGAGGCAAGTTTAGATTAAATAAACAACAATGAATTCTTCTGAACCTATGCAGAAGACAGATCACCCCCTGACTACCACAGAGTTTTCTGGTAAAAAAAAATAATAATTCTGGGAGAGTTTTCAAGGAAATCAAAATCAAGCACATACTCTATAGAAACCTCAGACAATTTTTGATGTCATTAAAACAGAACACACTTCTAACTTTAGTTTAATAATTCATTGTTTCATAAATAAAAACCAAACAAGTGTTCAGCAGAGAGATCTCTTTAAGGGAAGAAATAATAATTTATTATTTCTTTTGTTAAAAAAGGTCTCTCTGCTGAACACACGTTTGTTTTTTATTTATGAAACAATGTATGAATTATTAAAATAAATCTGGAATTGTGTTCTGCTTAATGACATGAAAAATTATTTGAGGTCGCATATAGATGAGCTTAGCAGTGCTTCACTACCTGCAAGCTTCGGTGCTATATTTTTCTAAACAAATCAAGAGTTTTAGAGCATTTAATAATCATTTAATTCTGAGATAAGTTTATTGTGATTTAAGCACAGTAATATATTCAGTATGTCACCAGCTTGAAAGAAGCCCTCATGCCGGAGGTAACAATACATAATAGAGATATAAGAAAAAAACAGTTCAAATTGATTTATGGAGTTGGCAAGCTACAAGCCATTTTGCACTGTCTGCCTTAGCTTGCTTTCTTTGCATGAGCTGAGGTGTAAGCACCTCCAAACGTTGGTATCTGTGCCAAGTGCTGAGGCCATGTTACTAGCCATGCTACATGCCATTTCCAGAGATACAGCCTGGCTAGCTGTACAGCAGTGCCTTCCTCGTGCGCTATATTTGGAAATGAGGTTTCTGCTCCAGGGCCTCATCCTTTGTAAAGCACTTAAGTGCATGCTTAAATGCTCATCTGCTCCGAGCCAGGAATGCTGATTCGCATCAATTCTTGGTGGCACGGAGGGAAGCACTGGTTCAGCCAGGGTCATTCCACGTTTCAGCCACAAGAATCCCAGGACACAAAAGGGGCTGGGGGAGGAGAATGGGGCTGTTCACAACTCGTGTCACTGTCTCTGCCATGAGCTGAGCACTCAGTGACTCAGGGCTGCTCCCATGGGCAATACTGACCCCAAGGAAGTTGCCAACGTGGCCTGGGGACACAGGGATTTAGCTCAGCGTAGTGATCTATATTTAATATAAAGCTGCTCCCCACATTCCCCATAGATGTTGAGAGGAGGCTGCAGGTGAATCACGTGTCCCCCAAGCCACTAGTGCAAGACAGCACAAAACTGTGAGTGGAAGGAGAGAAATTCATTTTGAGAAAGGAGGAGACATGGAGACCTTCACTGCCTAAATCGACTTTACACTTGGGCACAAATGTTACCGTCTTGCTTGGATGTTTCTAACATTCAGGCCACAGGTTTCCTTGCCCCAGAGGCAGAGCACCTTCCCCCCTGGGCAAAGCAGACCAGAAAAAGATTTCTGTTTATTTGTAACAGTCCATGTTTCACCACATATCTTGTTTCACAGCCTTTTTCCAAGTACTTCAGATTGGTCTGTCTCCACATTTCCCTCTATCTGTGGGACAGACTAGGATACCTTTGAGAGCATAATGCCTCCTAGGCTTTTTCTGACAGTGGCTTTAGGAGTTTCCAGTTTAGCTCCATAAGTATTGTCTGGCCTTGATTAAGGATGGCCAACTTTGAGTGCAAAAGGTAAATGCTCTCTCCGTTATTTCTCTTTTTTCTTTGTGCTAAGACACAGGCTGTTTATATGCTAGACATCCCTTCATATGACTGAGCTTATGAACCACCATTCTTTTCATACAGGCTGTAAGCAGTCATGACATGGTACCCATAACAAGTATTAAAACCTCAAAAGATAAGTTTGACTTTCATCATTGACACTGTAGCTTGTGGTGCGCGGGGTTCCCATGCTGAGGCAGGTATTATTAACATCAAACATTTGTGGCCATTAATTTATCCATTAATTGACCTGTGAGACTTGAGTCTATTCATATTATACACCCACCTTTAATACAGAAGGCTGTCTAGTAGCTAGAGCACCCCACTGAATTGGGAAACATTGGAGTACCACTAAGCTTGAGAGCTGGTGCCAGTCACTTGACATCTCTGTCTCCATTACCCCACGTGAACATACGCTTACAATGAGAAATCTGGGACACTTTTGTGGCAGTAATACAAAAAGCTAATGTTAACACTTGGAAAAAGGCATGCTGGTTTTTGCCAGTGGCAACTTTGGACTCATCAGAGGCCCATGGACATTTCTGAGTGGAGGATTTTTCCCACCAGTGACTTACAATATTGAGAATTTATCAGGAAACAGGAATGTCACTGCCATTCACCATGAGTAAAAGGAAAGTGTTTCTAGTATCTAAAATCATTTTTCCGTGATCCTGAAAATGGCTTCATAGTTGATATGTGGAAAACAGACCTGTTCTGATTCAGCTTGAAGTCATATTCTCTTTAGAGTTCCCTCACATGAAAACTTAGAGTAATATCTGGCTATGTTTTCTAGGCTGTGATGGTTACTGTCTGCAGATTTCTTTGAGGGCCTGAAGTGGAAGGCACCATGCGGCTGTGACGCACTGTTGTAAAGCTGTGATTCTGACAGCAGAATGCTAATCTGAAATGTGACTCTGGAATCACTGCTGCTGCTGTTCCTTCCTTCCCCTCTGCAGTGAAATACACAGAAATCAGATGCTCCTCTTTCTTTTTTCCCCATCTCCCATGCTCTCAGTTCCACTGAGGTAGAAAATAACCTAAAATGTTTCTGAAATTGTATTTTCCAAGGGATTTCCTAGTGCATCAGGCTGGTGTGCATCAAATGGGTAGAAACAGAAATCTGTCCCTTGTCTGGAGCAGTGCAGTGAGCACTTATTTTCTGCAAATTAATCGTGACTGAAGATGGATGTCCCTATCTTTTCTCCACCCCTCCCCCCCCCAATAGCTGTAATAATATGTACTCTATTTTTTTTTACTAACTTTCTGAGTCAACTTGGAACACTTAGTGCCATTCAGTTGCTGACCTTGGCCCCAAATCAGCCTTTTACACATGAAGCTATGCATTTATGTCTGTGCTTTGCCACAAAGGTAATCCCTGGTAAGCACACTCTAGAGGCTACAGTATGCAAAACCTCTCTCCTAATGATGACATTTGGAAAACCTGTTTTTTTCTCTTTAATTTCAGGTAGCTGCATTCACCGTGGACTGCTGAATGTTAGTCAGCCCTATATTGTAAAGCTGAACTGGAAAGGATTTTCCTACAAATATGGTTCCTGGGGTAGAGATTACTCTCCCTCTAACCCAGAGAAGGAAGTCTATTGGGTTGCACCACTGAACACAAATGGGAGACAGTTGGAATACTACAGAATTTATAGATCCTTTGATGATTTGCTGCTGTTTAAACCCATGTATGAAAGTAGAATAACATATGGGGAAGGAAGTGGTGTTGCCCTTTATAATAATTATTTGTACTATCATTCTTATAATTCAAGATATATGGTGAAGCATGATTTAAAAACAAACACCATGGTTTTGAGGAAGGAACTTCCAGATGCTGCTACCGGTAACCGTTTCTCTTATGCAGGTGTATCATGGCAAGACATAGATTTTGCTGTGGATGAAAGTGGGTTGTGGGTAATATATTCAACAGAAAATAGCATGGGCAACATTGTGATTAGCAAACTCAATGAGACCACACTTGATGTGCTAAATACTTGGCAGACAAGACAGTACAAGCCATCTGTTTCCAATGCTTTCATGTTATGTGGTATTCTGTACATCACAAGGCCAATGAACACTAGGAAAGAGGAAATCTTCTACATGTATGACACAAGTACTGGCCGAGAAGGCAGTATTAGTGTTGTTATGGATAAAAAGTTAGATACAATCCAGAGTATTGATTATAACCCCACAGATCAGAGACTGTATGTTTACAATGATGGTTACCTTCTAAGATATGATGTGACCTTTCAGCCTTAGCATCTCAGTGACATAAGCATATGATAAAACTGACAGCAACTAAAACGAGAGATCTGATACGCCTTTAGACAATGTTATTGCCAGTTTAGAGTTCATTTGGTCTGATGTACTGTATCTGTGTGTGTTCTATATATGTTACTTATAGTCTTTAAATGAATTGCCCACTCTGGTCGGTAGTATTGCTGGCAGCAGTGTTTGGCAGTACTGGGTTCTTTAGGTTTTGATTGGTGTTTATTGGTGCTTGGTGCTTTACAACTGTCTTGCCTCTAAGGGTAGATTTACTGCATAGATTTAGTGCATTTTGTTCACAGAAATGGATGGGCACAGCCTATCTACTGACCGAGAAGCTAATTACCCACTGATGTGCATTTGTCAGTGTGACACAGGCAAGGCACCCAGAAACTGAGAATGAATTTCCACTGATCTTCATCAGAGTGCATTGAGGCCTCAGAGAAACTAATTGAAGGATTAAAATAGTATAGGAAGTAGACTTGGTCGGAAGACAGCAACCCATTTGTTGGGTGAAAGCAGTAGTATCTGATTCAAGGCTTCAGGAGAGAGGGCAGAAATGTGCTTGGCTGTTTGAAATCCTACCACAGGGAGGGAAGAGAAGGCATCGGGGCAGAGCTCACTGCCCTTGCCATCGCCAATGCAGTGGGACAGCCGCCCCTGGGGCCCCACCTGTAGCTGCCTCCTACCAGCTCAGCCCTCTCCCAAGCTGCCACAGCACCAGGCTGGCTTCTTGGAGTGACTGTGGGGGCCAAACTGGCAGCAGGGCTTTCACTAATTTTCCCTCTGCCCATCTCTGCTGCCCTTAGTAATTCCATGTGCCTAAACTTGGCCTTACGAATGGTTTTACTGCAATCTAGCCGTGTTTTGTGGTCACCATGGCTCCATTTTCCTGGCAGTACAGTGCAAGAAACACTGTTTTCCTTTCCTTTATGCTCTTGTAAGCTGATGCAAATCCTCCCATTGACTTTATTGGCCATGACTGGCTCTTAGGTGTATGTTGTTCATTGCCACAGAATGACAGCCATGTTATTTAATGTGCCTCTATTCAACACTTTTGCCATTCTGTAAGTAGATTCCTGAGATCCTTGTTAGTGTAGGTCCAATTTGTTCCCTGGGTAATTCTGTCTTGCAGCTAGGTAAGAGGTCTTGTGGAAAACAAGTCTGGTCAAACTAGTTTTATATGTGGTTTTTTTTAATGAGTATTGTGTAATAGTTTTTGAGTGTGTGCACTGTATCAATGTCTTACCTTCATGTCAGAAAGCAGGCTGAAATACTGAAATGCAGAGCCCTACAATGATGAAGAAAGCAGTTCATGTAGCTCATTTTCTTCTGTTACCTATGCAATGATGTCTGTGTCCTCTGATAATCGAAATCAATATATGTGCAAATGATGATTGGTTTTGTTTTAATAAAAACTGTATTTCAAAGAATCTCAGTTGTGCCATAGAGCCATGTAAAGCTGCTTGTGACAAGTAGGTAACTTCTGGGATGTAATGGGAAGCCGGGGCACCAAATGTTTGAAACAGGATCATTGCACTCACTTGGGCTCTGTGTTCTTAAATAGTTCTGGGAGAAACGGAAAGGTGTGAATCAGTACGTCAACAAGTACATAAGAGGAGCTTTATTTTCCCCACACAGAAATATGTCAGCTAGTTAGGGTAAGATTTCTCCACCAAGCTGAGATGTTACTCGAGACATCGGAGGCTGATGAACTGATGACATGTTTTGAAGCCAGGTGCTGCCACTTATCAGGTATCAGCATCTGTTTCTTGGAAACCTGTGAAATGAATTTGAAAGCCATGGAGGCATTGGTGCAGTAATCTGATCAGTCAGTACAGGCAGGGCTGCTGCATGAATAATCCAGAACAACCCAAGTAAGGATTTGGCTGAGAAAGGAAGAAGAAAATACTGCGAAAAATATTTTTTCCCTCTACATCCGTGTGTGTGTCACAGAAGGTGAGCAACTCTCCACTTATTATCAAGAAATGCCATCAGCATGGGCCTTGAGGCTCCTCAGGTCACCACTGTTTAGAAAGGGAGCTGATGTTAGCAGGTATGTGACTGATTCTGGTGAATTGACTGGGATTCTCAAGTGCTTCCTGGGGACAGGCCCTTGTGGTCTAGCCTTCTCCTCTTTGGAAACAGCAGTCGGCCTGGACTGGAGGCTTCCACGGTGGCGGTGGAGATGGGGATGCTGTGGCTGCCCACCACACTCAGTTGCGGTGTGGCCCAGACCCTGTGTGACCTGGCACTGGGCTCCAGCTGGACCTCACTGAGGTGGCCCAGAGGTGGGAAGACAGTGGCAGCAGCCGTCTCTTCAGGGTGCCACACAATGTCGCTGCAGAGAAGATAAAACACAAGCGGGTTAGACCTCGGTAGCTCAGTAGCAGAAGGAAAGCAGAAACATCCCTGCACTTATGAAACCCTGAAATATCTTGTGTGGAGGGTCTGGGTCAGGAGGTTTTGCTCCTGGCAAGGCTGAGCTTGTCCTTTGATTTTTGTCTTGTGCTAATATTTTGCAGGCAGCTGGTGCCAGGGTGCAGTGGGGGCTCCCCTGGGGTCTATCAGGGCAGGGCCTGGCAGCCAGGGCCCGTCCCACCACCCCAGCCAGGAGCAGGGCAGCTGGGGGGCACCGGGGCAGCCCTGGCTCTGGGCATTGAGCAGCTCCCTGAGGATGGGGACAGGTGAGGCTGGGCTGGGACATGGGCCCATGGGTGGGCCTGGCTCGGTGGGACCCATGGCCGGGCAGGGCAGGGCTGTGGGGAGCTGTAGGCTGTCCCTGCTGCTGCATCGCTGGGGCGGGGGCTGACAGCCCCAGAGGGCTGAGGTGGGGTCCTGGGACATTGGCGGTGTGTGTGGGAGCCCCAAGGGGGTGGGCAGTGAGGCACATAAGTGCCTCTGGGGCCCTGGCAGCTGACAGTGTTGCTGTTAATGTTATAAGAGGCTTTGCAGAGTTGTAGAAAGACCGTTGTCCTTTTAAAAACAGAAAAATAAAGGCACGAAATGACTGTATTTCAGCTCTTGGCCTATTGATTAGGCATCTCCCCGTGGAGGTTTTGGGGTATATAAACAATATTGAACATAAATAGTACCTGCCACAGAGCCCGGAGGAGAGGACATCTGTCTGCGCGGTGACAGAGGGAACTGCAGTACAGGGACTTCGATGCAATTTCGTTGATAAGTGGTTTTCACACCGCCTAACTCGAGGCACCTGAGGCGGGAGACTCGGCTCTGATCCGTGAGGCAATTGCACATGGGGAGAGAGAGACCTTCTGCAAAGGAGCACTTCAAGAAGAGGGAGTAATACATCTTTTCGCTTGTTCCCTTCAACTTGTCCTTTCAGGCCTTGGATGAAGGTAGTTCAGTAGTGCTGGCTGTTAAAATTAAAGCATGTTCTTGAGCTGGCCACAGCACACAACCTTGGGCAGGCTTCACTCACTGTCCCTGTTGCCCCCTCTCCTGTAGCTAGTGCTACCTCTGCTTTGTTTGGAGGGTGTTTCCTCCTCTCCTTTCTCCTTGGACATGGAGAAGACCTCACCCCATGCTTCCCAGCATGGGCTGTTACTGGTTTGGTGGCTCCACACCATTTCATGACATGACTTTTGCCTGCAGTGACATAAGATTCACTCTGACCCTTTTCACCCAGACTTTCCTGACACCCACTGGCCTCGTTCCCCCTGGTCTGTTCAAAGTGCAGTGACAAATTCATTCTCTTTTGCCTTTTGCAGTCCTTCTTGGTCCCACCCTCTCTGTAACATGTTAGATACAAGCTCTTTATTTTTCGGTCCAGGACTTGCACATCCTCTCAGCAACTGTGTTACCTGAGTCTCCCTGCTTTGTTGCCTAAGTGACGCCAATGTCCTTCATCCTCCTGTTGCCTTGTCACACACCCTTCCCTTTATCCCACACTGACACTTTTCTCTGGGATGCCCTCTCCGAACCCGTCTATCAGCTTCCCTGGGCTCCTCCAAATTTCTCATGAATTTCACTGTGAAGCTCCTGATAAATTGCCAACTGACTACAGCTAACTTGTTGCCTTCGGTAGGCGACTGGTATTTATTTGCATCATGTATTCAATTAGCTGGCACAGGAGATCATAAAGCTGGCACATATAAACTCTCTTATTCATTCCCGTATGTCACTCCCTCACTCTCTGTTTACATTCACTTGTTGTATCTTGTCTTAAACGGAGATTGTATGTTCCTCAAGGGAAATACCTGTCTTTTAGTTTGGGGTAGTACAGCACCTAACACAACGGGCTGCTACCTTCCTTCTCTCTCCCGGGTACTTCTGAGCAACAAACAATAAAGAGCAGCAAGAGCTGGCCAGGGATTGTTGCATGCATCTGTGTTTTTGTCTGAATTTTCATGCATGCTGCTACGTGTGCTGCATATAAATTGGCTTTGAAAAGTAGGCAAACAATATGCTTCCAGACAACTGTGTAAACATTCTGTTGGAAACTGTTTCAGTAGCTATGTGCACATAATGTAGCTACAATGCATCCCTAAATTTGTACCATGTGGGGTAGGATCACTTTTCCTCCTGTAAATATTTGATTTCTTTCCTTTCTTTCTTTGCGTTTTTGTGACTGCACAACAGTTGCTCCCTGAAAGCCAGAGACCAATGGCAGAAGTGTGCACCACACACAGAGCCTGTAGCCATGATCTTTTTCATACTGCCAAACAACCTGTGATTTTGCAAGACTAGGAGTTGTCCTTCTAATAGGACAAAATGCTCGCTTTGTAGCTGAGCTGGGTTTGGAGAGATGAATTAAGGCATCGCAACATTATGGTTTGTAAAAGAGAGCACGCGTGAGGGCAAATGTGTGTGTCTAGCAGGAATCCTGTCTTCCCCTCTGCTTGCTGGGTTGCTGCCAGTTTGCAAGCTGTTAGCCACGTATGGGGAAGCAAATGAAGTGAGGGAAGCTGCATGGGCAACCGTTCTTTTGAGTCTTCAGGGAATGGCTTCTGCCACTGGCCTACATTGTC